CAGCCCAGGTGTTCTATGAGTACGAGGACCAGGGAAGAGGAGACCTACGAGTCCCGCCCTACACCTCAAGTGCCCAAGTTCTTGCAGCACTTTGTTCTTAAATTATCTTGCAAAACACACAATTACGGTTTAAGTTAAATATTACTCAAGTATAACCCAATTATGACCTTATACTTAAAGCCTATCCGGGGAGTAGTTGGCGGAAGAATGCACAACCACTAAAGCAATCAAATAGTAGGTCGTAAGTTTTATGCATAATAACATCCAAGCGCGACTTCTACTGCCTTCGAGGAAGGACAACTCAATGAAAACTTAAGCTTTCGAGAGTTGAATTTTCTTTGCTATTAATTATTTGCATTTTTTCTAAAACATTGCCTATGCCGCCATTGTATAATCTAGCGCCCACTGTAACACATTTTTGTGTTGAATATTAATTTGTCAAACGGCTTAAACTAGTAGCAAATATTTTATTACCGTTTGCCAGATGCAATTATCTTATGGGTCGATAATGGGGTGAATCGCTCGCATGGTCACACCTAGCCTCGTTGCGCACTCTTGTTCTGGTCTGCTGTCGTTTACGATTGAAATGCAGAATAATCACAATGAGACCCATCCCGAGCAGCAGGTATACTTGTTTTATCAGCTAAACAATGTAGTGCTTATAATTTTAACAAAATCAAATTATTATGGAGCCTAAACACGTTGTCCGTGTTTCAGGTCGGCAAGATTTAGCTAACCTTACCGACTTGGCTCTGCTCTAATTATTTCTGGTTTATGTTAACTCTACATGCATGTTTAGATCCAGGAACTTGGGAAGAAGATTGCTTCTGCAGAAATCGCTGAGCAGTCTTTCGCGCTAAAGGCTCCCAAGGGTACGCGGGACAGAAACCCTGTGCAAATGCGTATTCTGGAGCAAGTGTTCGGAGTCATTCAGGATTGTTTCAAGCGTCACGATGCAGTATCCATTGAAACGCCTGTTTTCGAACTGAAAGAGGTGTTGACTGGGAAGTACGGAGAGGAGTCAAAGCTTATTTACAACCTTGAGGACCAAGGCGGCGAATTGTTGTCGCTTCGTTATGACTTAACCGTACGGCTGCGATCTACTTCCACTTTTACTTTTGGAAACAACTCACATTTTTATGTGTATCTTAGGTTCCCTTCGCTCGATACGTTGCAATGAATAAAATTATGAGTATTAAGAGATACCAAATTGGTAAGGTTTATCGACGTGATCAACCTGCTGTGAATCGTGGGCGTTTCCGTGAATTCTATCAATGCGTAAGCATTTTCAACGTTTTAAATCTTCCACTTTCACTAGTTGTTTTTGATACTTCATTGATATTCAATAAACGTATTAGGCCTTTTAGTTTTAGCTGTAGTAATTTAACCTAACGTACTGCTTAGAAGCTTTATAACCCGAATATCAGTTTGAATTGGCTTTTCTGCCGAATATAAAGGTAGCCTTTAGTCTACCGTTTTTGTAACTGCTACATGAGCCCCTTATCGAAATTATAATGAGATACGGTTACTGAATCACTGCCGGAATATTATTCAGCGTTTGTTCTGATTTCCTAGCCTATAAAGACATGGAAACCGCGGGACTATTGTATTCCAGATTTGTGTTGAAATACCTTATATCAGTATCTTCTGCAAAAATTAAACGTCACGATAATTGCTGAAAAATCCTAGATAGGCGAATCCCTGCATGTTTAGCGGACTCACCATTCCACGAATTAATGTTAACTAATTTAATACTTTAATCACATCCTACGAACCCCTCTAAAACTAATCCGTTTATAAACGGCCTTTTATGATGCGTGTATCTGCGACATCTCCCGTGTCCATTTTAGACTGGGTTATATATTTCCAAACTATCATAAAGAATTCATCTAACTGCAATAATTCATCGTCTTACAGGACTTTGATATCGCGGGAAACTATGGACTAATGATGGCTGATGCTGAATGCTTGCGCATTGTCTACGAGGTGTTGCGTGATTTGAATTTGGGCGACTTCGTTATAAAAGTCAATCACAGGCGCTTCCTAGATGGTATTTTCTCTGTCATTGGTGTTCCTCCGGAAAAATTCAACACCACTTGCTCTTCTGTCGACAAACTTGACAAGGTGATGTTCAAATTTTATTCCTGTGCAACTCATGTATTCTTTCGAAATCATGTTTGGGTTATTGTAATTTGTTGTCATCAATCCGATCTTGCAATGAAACAATCACTCTACCCGATCTGCTTTTCTCACTTCGGTGTTCCCTTTTGCCTTTCTTGGGTCATCAGTCAAAACTTTTACAGAGTCCAACTGTTAAAAATCACTTTGTGTATGTGTGTTTGTTCTATTTTTGTTTTACCTCGTCATCGCTGTTACAGGCAACATGGGAGAATGTGGAACAGGAGTTACTGCAGAAGGGTCTTTCACCTGAGACGGTGGATCTTATCGGTCACTACACACGAGTTACAGGTGAAGCTGAGGTTTTGGACAAGCTGGAGGCCGATCCTCGTCTTGCCAACTCGACCGTCATTCAAGAGACCCTGAGAGAAATGCGCACGTTGCTGGATTACTGCCAAGCAATGGGCATCATGTCCACACTCAAATTAGATCTTTCTCTCGCTCGTGGTCTTGATTATTACACTGGTGTTATCTACGAGGCTGTTCTCACGGGTCTGTTGTGTGTGTATGTGTGCGTGCACTCTTATATTTTTCTGGATTTCATCACAACCACGTCCTATCGTAGTGTTGAATTAGAACGCTATCTTGAAAATATATTGAAGCCCATATGTTCACAGTTATGCATCACAATTGTTCTGTATAGTACCCGTTTTGCTTTTGGATGTTGTTCATTGCTTATAATTTCTCCGTCACCATAACTATGTTGAGTGGCTGCTCACTCAATGAAAGGCCAAGTAGATCTCCTGCTACTTATTTAACTTAAGTACATTTTTATCAGGCTTCACTTATGATGATAAGTGGCAGTCTGAGGCGGCAGCGACACTCATACCAGAGCGTCCCCCAAATTCCAAAAAAAAGTCCAAGAAGAAAAGTAAACAGATGGCAACAGAAGCAGAGGACGATTCTGATGCCACGGAAGGCGCGGTGGGTAGTGTGGCTGGAGGCGGCCGTTACGACAATCTGGTCGCCTTATTCACCCCTAACTCACCGAAGGTGCCCTGTGTGGGTGTGAGCTTTGGTGTTGAGCGTCTCTTGGCTATCTCGGAGATGTTGGCTCGTCGACGTGCTGCCACCGGTGATACCAACGCCTCCACTACCATGCGTGCCACCGAGACTGAGGTAATGGTCATCGTCGCCCACAAGGGGCTCATAGCACCTCGTCTCCAACTGGCTCAGGAGTTGTGGGACGCCAAGATTAAGGTGCGTGCCACCCTTTCTAGATGTAATTGAGTGTGTGTTACTTTACTTCCAAAATGGAGTATTGGCTCTCAATAAGAGTATTAATTCCATCCAGCATTAACTCATTTCCTGGGTACTATGTGCTCAAGAATGGGTCGATGAAAACTTCAACTTGACAGTGATATTTCTTTCCTGGTCAATTTTCTTAGGAATATATGGTGTTGTTGACCAATTCCTTTTTGTCAGAATGAAGTGCTTTAATGGTTAAAAAAATCTTAAAACCATATTTAATCTACAGATCAGAGAAATGCACGATGAATATTGTTTTAAGTGTGTGTATACCCTATAATTAACTTACCACAATCCTCTCCTCCGTTAGACTTCGGTTTCTGCACAGCGATATTCTGGGGGATATGGTGGGTATTCACCGTGGTATTCTGTTCATTCTTCCAACCAGTGCTTTTAATTATTCTCTCTTCTTTCCCTATCAAGATTACTTAGTTCCTTGCTAATCCTCTCACTATTTAAATTATTGTTTGTTTTGAGTTGAATCGTGGAATGCATACACGCTGTGGTTGTGTTCATCCAAGTTGGATTGTTCATAAAATCTGAAATAAAACGATAACTTTTATTGTCCAATGTGCATTAAAAGATTTTATCTTGAACACTGTAACTCTCCTTCACAGTGGGTTTCGTCCTCTTCTTTTTGCCTTGTCGTAGAAATGCTATTCACCCCTTAGCTCTATTCAATATTTAAGGTCATGCTCATGAGGCAATCTAAATGTTTGTGTTCTTCAAGTTGAATGCACAGAAGCCAATTCAAAAGTTTGTACTATCCATTATTTTTTGGGAGATTTTAATTCGGAGTGATGTTTGAATCACTATTTTTTGTTTTCTTGGACTTTTTGATAATTATTTAATCATACCTTTACTCGGCAAAATCCTATTGTTCGTGCGGCCATCCCCTCAGGACTTAATAATCTGAATTCATCCAGTTGTACTCTTCGTATTTAACTTTGGATGATTATGGTAGTGCTCTCGATTACCGTTTCGGGATGCTTAATTATCCTGTTGCCTAAATATGCATTTCTCTTAGGTCACGGTGATATGCCCAACATCAGATGCGCCACGAGCATGGTGTTCGAAGATCTTGACATAATTGAGTATGATTGCTTTTTCCATTCCTAAAACCAGATTGTGTTGCACAACTTTTTTTATGTGAGATGGTGATCGCTTTAACCACTACTGACTGCAAGTGTTGTCCAAACGTTTTTCTTGGATAGAACTATTAAGTTGTTTTAGATTAAAATCGGTGTTATTTGAGGCAGTATTTTCATCCGAAAGACCAAGATACAGGTAGCTTTAGTCATACTTTACTCTGTTTTCCTTGTTCCCTTCAGACAGCCTTTTCACACAAGGATCAGCCGAGGCTGCTGGACCAGTTGCAGTACTGCGAAAGCACGGGTATCCCACTGGCGGTGCTGATTGGGGAGGCGGAACTCCAGCGCGGGGTAGTAAAACTGCGGTGCATCAGTACGCGAAAGGAGCGTGAGGTGGCACGCGCTGACCTGCCTGCTGCCATTCGCAGTGAGTTGGAAGCTCTGCGCGGAGAAGCACGACAGTGATCTCTCTACCTTTTCACCCCGTAGCCGTAATCAGGCCTGTATTTTCCATGCCAACCATTTCTGCTTCCCTGTCCAGTGTGTTTATTGTGTGTAGATGTACTGAAAACCTATTTAACATCGAGGTTTCAACGTGGAATTGTTCCTTTGAGGGAGGTATTCGGTTATCTTTCAAGTTGGGTACTATGCGAAATCTTTAGTGAATGGGCGTTTAGCAAGCAAAAAAAGGGAAAATTTATTCTTTTGATTTACTCTGATTTCCTCAGTATCTGCGCCTTCACTTTAAGGCAAAATAGCTAATTTGAGATCTTTTAAATGAAAGGTGAAAACTGAACCTGTGTGTTTTTGAGCTTGAACTGATTCCTATTACCTTAGCCCAATTCTGTATTTCTTTGATCTCTGGACTACGCTGAATAAGGCTTGGAAGTTTGGCAATGTAAAGCTTGTGTTCAATGGTGTATTCTGGGATTAGCAGCTTGAAAATGCACAGCATACCTTCCGTTCCCCCCCCCCCGTTCTTTCATTTACTCGTGAAATCCGATTTATTGAAATCCTTTTGAGTAGGTGGGGCCCCACTTGTATTTGCGGCATTCAACAGAAGACGAGGACCAGGTCATCATGGAACTAGGGTATTGGTGCCGCCATAAGTCGTCCGATCCCAGTTGAAAAGTGGGAGGAAGTGTTTGTTTTGTGTAAGCGGGACTTCAGAATCCTGTGCTGCTTGATTTGATTAAGACTGTAATTCATTAAATGGGGGAATTTGTAGTTTCTTCTCCAATTGATAAACATAATCTGCTGTTTTTGGCCCGTCAATTTCCCAAGACGGGTTGTGTGTTCACTAACTTTTACAAAGGGTTACTCT